TAATTGAATCACGATATAATTTAATCACGATATAATTTAATCACAATGTAATCGAGTCACAATATAATTGAATTACGATATAATTGAATCATGATACAATTGAATCACGATTTAATTGAATCACGATATAATTTAATCACGATATAATTTAATCACAATGTAATCGAGTCACAATATAATTGAATTACGATATAATTGAATCATGATACAATTGAATCACGATTTAATTGAATCACGATATAATTTAATCACGATATAATTTAATCACAATGTAATCGAGTCACAATATAATTGAATTACGATATAATTGAATTGCGATATAATTGAATCACGATATAATTGAATCACAATGTAATCGAATCACAATGTAATCGAGTCACAATATAATTGAATTACGATATAATTGAATCATGATACAATTGAATTACGATATAATTGAATCACGATATAATTTAATCACGATATAATTTAATCACAATGTAATCGAGTCACAATATAATTGAATTACGATGTAATTGAATCATGATACAATTGAATCACGATATAATTGAATCACAATGTAATCGAGTCACAATATAATTGAATTGCGATATAATTGAATTGCGATATAATTGAATCACGATATAATTGAATCACAATGTAATCGAATCACAATGTAATCGAGTCACAATATAATTGAATTACGATATAATTGAATCATGATACAATTGAATCACGATTTAATTGAATCACGATATAATTTAATCACGATATAATTTAATCACAATGTAATCGAGTCACAATATAATTGAATTACGATATAATTGAATCATGATACAATTGAATCGCGATATAATTGAATCACGATATAATTGAATCACGATATAATTGAATCACAATATAATTGAATCACAATGTAATCACAATTCTTTGAGTAATTCAATTGAAATTCTGCACAACTCTGTCCCATATTGCTGTGCAACGACGTGGAAGATTCTCAGAAGTATCGTCTGGGGTATGATTCTTGCAAATCTGTACACCGTTTGAACTTCCTCCCTCGGCCGTTCTCCATTTCTCAAAGAACACTGGGAACTGCGCGCTCCCCTTCTGCGATAAAAATGCAACGCAGAGAAATTATTGAGACTGTCCGTATTCCTTCGCGAATGAAAACGCGGCGATGAGAAATGAACGGGTATTCCCCGCGACGGTTCCGTCCCAGAGGATCCAGCTCGGATCGTTAAAAATCAAGCTCGATAAACGAAGGAGATGATCGCGACTAGCGGAACTTCTGACGTTCAGTAGCGCGCGCGAAACTTCGCTGACGCGACGATTTAACAAGACGGCAAACGTTGTTAAAAATTTGTTTCTGTCAGTGAACGGCCCAGTTGAGTTCGTTACAAGCCGTTCGGTAGAGCGACCTAAGGGAATCATTACAGAGGAACGTATTTGTTCGTCTTCGAACAAAATTTGCCACGATCGCAAGACGTAGAAACGAGACGCTTGCACTTCGTTATTAGTTCAATAATTTGGCCGAATTTAAACCAGCATGAAGATGATGGCAGCTAGGTAACCATAATAACTCAGAATCAAGTATGGACTCTATTAAATCTATGTACATTAACATCGTTTCGAGTGAATTCCAATTTAATTAGAACGTTATTTCAGATTGAAATCGATTAAAATATAACAATTAGTCAAAATGCAATAATTGATTAAAATATAATAATTAATTAGAATTTAATAATGGACTAAAATATTGTAATCCATTAAAATATAACAATTGATTAAAACATAATAGTTAATTAAGATATAATAATTGATTAAAACAGAATAATTGATGATATAATAATTGGTTAAAATACGATAAGTGATTTAAATATAATAATTTATTTATATTATTTATAATTATATATTAATTATATATTATTTATAATTATATATTAATTATATATTATTTATAAATATAATAATTTATTATATTATTTATATTATTATATTAATAATTAATTATTAATATAATAATAATTACTAAAATAATTAATTAACATACCATAATTAATTATAACATTGATCACTCCTTAGTAGATCTCTTTGAGAGGGCCGCCGCGGCGCGGCGCAGTGTTTAGTGGAGCATTGACTGACAATTGGCACGATTCAAAGTGATACTGTCACGCGCGGATGGAATGTAATTAATTATGCCAGCTCGAAACACAGTCGGCGGACTGATTAGTGCGTGTCGTTCCGTGAAATTACCTCAACGCATCATAATGACGTCTCATTCCTCCACGCCGACGGGCTCCTAAGTTATGTTTGTTCATAATAATTCGACTGCTGGATGCAGCCGGGCAATTAACAGGGTTTCCGTTGACTCTATAATTCCCTACAGCGACAAATTCGCGTTTCTAATGCGTGAAATCTCTGACAATTTGTCAAACTATTTGACCGTTCGCCATGTCGATCATCCGATATAAATTTTTCGTTTTGCGGTTCAAATGGAAATTTTTGACAATCCTTCTTGAGAAAAGAAAATTTAATTTCGTGAGAAATATTTCAGTTTGTGATTCATTAGTAATGTTAATGCTATTGATAATTAGTATTAATATAATAATATTAACAGAATTAATAATACTATTAATATTACTAATTAAATAATTATATATATAATTGTATGTATTCGTATGTATATTATTGTAAATATTAGTACATAAATAATTCTATATATTAATGCATAATATATTATTATCATTAATATATTGTAAATATTTGAGCCATTTATGAAAGGACTTTTTAAGGCGCCATGAACATTTATTGTCGTAAACATAAATTGTGTGCGAATTGTTTAAATAATGGAAAAGTAAACAATATATTCGGTAGTTAGTAACAAAAACGATTTTCATGAAATTTGAACCTAATCTATGTAAATAACGTTCAAAGCATTGTAAAACCCGTTCTACGTCGGTATCCGTTCCGAAAAATTCTTTTTGGAAAATTCGGTTCTGTATTCGGTAGTGCATTCGAGATTTTTGTTCGAGTGTCAGATTATTTTGAAACGTTTTTTTTATTCCTGGTTACAGGGGCACAAGTGGTATTGACATAGATCTACGCAGACTGGACATAGATCAGTGTCCTCTGCCGCCAGGATCCACCCAACTGAACATTTTCGCAGCCAGCGACAAGTGCAAAAAGCGAACCACCGAGGTGAGCGATATTTTTTTAAAAATGTTCCACCTTACGTTCTATTTTTGAGAAATTTTTCATCATTTGTCAATATCTCTGAATCGGTCTGTAGAATATTTCAGAAATTGTTATTGTTAAATATAACTCTCTTAATTGTAAATAAATGTTTCGTTATTTTTTACCATTCAAGAATTAGTTCGAGAAAACCTGAACGATTTTTGTGAAAACAAATGACAGATTGTTTCCTAGCAATGAATAATAAATTGTTTTCTAAAATCATATAAGATCTTTTCTATAAATAAATAAACAGTTGTTGTTTAAAGCTAAGTAACAAACTGCTGTTTGAAAATAAATAAAAAATTGTTTTCCAAAAATAAATAGCAAATTGTCCTTTAAAAATTAATGAGCAATCATTTTCTAAAAATAAATAACAAATTATTCTTCCCCAAAATGAATAAGAAATTACTTCCTGAATAATAAATAAAAAATGGTTAATAAAATGGTTAAAATAAATAATCAAATTGTCTTAGAAAAATAAGAAACAATTTTGTCAAAGTAAATTCCATTAGAAAAATGAATTCAGTAGTTGGTATGATTTTGTAGTATTATTTTGTGGTCCATGATTGTTTCAAGTATTATTGGATGATTGCTGTTGCAGTGTATCGCTATTCCTGGGCTCGGATTCCGTCGTGGTAGTTACAGATGCATCTGCAAACGTGGATTTTATTATCCGGATACAAAGTCACTGATCCGATACTACAATGGCACTGTTATCGAGGAAGAGTTCGAAAAATTGATGATGGTAAGCAGCTTCACCATTTGAAATAATATAATTTTTCCATTGATATTTATTTATTATAATATACTCCATTCTGTAAACATTTTCCATGATTTTATTAATATTGAAATTCTCGAGAAGTATTTTAGTTAAATTTTACACGCTAGTTTTGATATATTTTTAATCTGTAATAATTAGTAATCATTTCATTGAGATACGATTTCTGTATAAATATTCGAACCGAGTTTTGGATTACATGCAAGTCTTATGTCAACGATGCTATTCTGTTTTCCATTAATTTCCACGTTAATCACGTCACACGATCAGCCTATAATCCTTGTACAACTAAATTAAACAATGTTTACAATCCAATATTTTTTAGTCAGAATAATAATTGCATCCATTTTGAATTCATATCAACAGAGACCGACTGAATAATTTTTAATGTTATCCATCTATCGCTAAAAAAGCAATTATTCAGTTTAGAATTAAACAGAATATTTGTAAGTGATATGCATAACGTTCAAATAATATTCAATTAATTTTCTATTGTATAAATTAGAAAATTGCGATATCTGTTTTGCAACAATTTCGAAACCAAATTGTATAAAATTGAATCAGTATGCAATGTACAATAAATTATGAACAATAATTTATGAATTTCATGCGCGTCTGAATAATATTACGGAAGAATGCACTTGAATTTTCCTTCGTAAACCATTAGCATGCTTCGAAATGAAACGCATTATGACTCCATTATCTTCCGCAAACATGGTGGATGGTAAGCGCGTCGCAAGATAATATCTCGTACCATTAAATCCGGTGTCTAATTGAGAACAAATATACATTCGTGTGAAACGAACTGCATCATGCACCGGTGCACATAATACCTTCGTAGCAATCTGCTTATCGGACTCATTGAAAATATTAATAATTTCTTCTATCGTGTTTTCAAGCACTTGTTGGAACATGCAAACGATTCGTAATGAGGCAGATCCGATTTGCGTTCTTACGTACATCTCTAATTAAACAACGTATCAAACAATCGTGTAATTCCGGGTCAGAGACATAAAGGGCGGAACAACAGTTCTTAATTATTGGAGAGCTATAGGGCAATTATTATAGTTTACAAAAACACAGAAAAGTTAAAGTCAGTTATTATAGAATTCTATAACAGAATTATACAATACATATATAGAATTCTATAACAGAATTATACAATACATATATAGAATTCTATAACAGAATTATACAATACATATATAGAATTCTATAACAGAATTATACAATACATATATAGAATTCTNACAACGTATCAAACAATCGTGTAATTCCGGGTCAGAGACATAAAGGGCGGAACAACAGTTCTTAATTATTGGAGAGCTATAGGGCAATTATTATAGTTTACAAAAACACAGAAAAGTTAAAGTCAGTTATTATAGAATTCTATAACAGAATTATACAATACATATATAGAATTCTATAACAGAATTATACAATACATATATAGAATTCTATGTTTCTATAAACTATGATAATTGTCCTGTACCTCTCTAATAATTAAAATCTGTTGTACTGCTCTTTATGTCTCTAGTCAGCACATTCTTCTGCAATTAAAGAAGAATTGTTAATTTACAAGAACACAGAAATACATGGTGTCCGAAAATTATGGTACCTTCGGGAAACGAGGGATTCCTGAGATCATTTCAAGTAACTTTTTCCTTAGCGAAAATGCGATCCGCGGCTTTTTTTACGAGTTATTAACGAAAAACAGTGACCAATGAGAGGCGAGATCCAACTGGCGCGAGGCGGCCGAGCCAAAGAGCGGACGAAGCCCAGTTGCGCTCATTGGCTCGCCTCTGATTGGTCAATGTTTTTCGTTAATAACTCGTAAACGAAGCCGCGTATTGCATTTTCGCTAAGGAAAAAGTTACTTCAAATGATCTCAGCAATCACCCATTTCCGGGTGTTAACATAATTTTGGGATACCCTGTATATTTCGTATCGGTTATACATAATTCGATTGAATGAAATAATACATCCTTCGATTTATTACAATAAATTAGAATCAGTTGAAGAACTGTTTCGCATTTCACCGAATGATATGAATTTATTATTGCATCGAATAATAATCAACGTTGCAATAAATTATAATCGATACTACATTAAATACAGTGATTTATTGTAATGACGAATTGATGATTGAGACTGTGGACTGATATTAATAATAAATTGATTATGATACATTGAAACGATTTATTTATTTTCTACTTAAATTATTTTAATTAATCGTTCAATATTAGATTATTGAGATGACGGAACACAATTTGTCGACGTTATTAGAAGATCTTTGAACACACCGTATAGAAATGTTATATCTCCACTTTGACCAGATTTCCGATAATCGGTTGATAAAAACGATCTGTTTCTGTGCGACGTTGTTGAACGATTCGATAACCATCATCTACAATGTTTCATCATGCCGTAATAGTCCGTATAAAATCTTTTATCTCTGCATTGTAGCAGCTTCCTATAGTGACCTATTTTTGTGCAATTTCGTGAGAAAATGTACGATAAGGTGCAACCCCGCCTATAATAAACACCGTCGCGAGTATAGCACCCAACAAAATAAGCTGCCTCCATTTTACAGTAATTTCTCTCACATTGTCTCTCAGCTTGGAAACTTGTTTTTATAGTTGTTGACAATCGGTACCTATGAAAACGAGCCACAAGGCTCGACGAATCGTGTCGAGCGAATTTCTCCCTAATTAGCACTCAGATTGCGCATAGAAATGGACAATTTGGGAGGAGGAGATACGATTATTCGAAGCTTGTGGCTCGTTTTTATAATAACTGTAGTCACTATAGTAACTATTTTACAGTAACTGTAATAATTATTTTATAGTAACTATAGTAATTATAGGTAACTATTGGTAACTATAAAAGCGAGCTGCAAGGCTCGAATAATCGCATCTTCTCTTCCCAAATTGTCCATTTTTGTGCGCAATCTGAACGCGAATTAGAGAAGAATTACTCTATTCTCAGATCTGCCGGTTTCAATTGCGACCTCAGAACATTTCTGGGAGAAATATATCGCCAACTATAATAAACGCTATTGAATACAGCATCCAGCAAAAGTGCGTTAACAATGTTCCATCATAGCCTAATACAACACGTGAAGTTATCACTCCCCCCTCTCTCACGCTCTCTTTCTCTCTCTCTCTCTCTCTCTCTCTCTCTCTCTCTCTCTAAGCCTTTTAATTTTGCGATGATAAATTCCTAAAAGTGACCTAATTTTTGTGGTGACTTTGATCGAGTCGGAGATAATGCTTGCGTCATTCGCAGCTGAAGCCTCGCATCAGCGGAAGATTTAGGTCATCGGGGTAGATTACTTTCAATTTACAACGAATTTGTAGAACGAATAATTCCGTTGAATCCTCCTCCATAATTCCATTGGAGCTAGTTAACCTGGATGATAATTAATTAAGGCATAAGACCCGCACAATTAATTTCCAATGAAATATGCGGTGCTGTGAACAAGTAACTAATCGATCTATCGGGTGTCCCTAATGTACATAGTCTAATGTAAAAACTTGAATGTTCATACTTACATGTATATAGTTGAATATACATAATCAAATGTGCGTAATTAAATGTTCATATTTACATGTACGTAGTTGAATATACATAATTCAATGTACACAATTAAATGTACACAATTAAATGTACATACTTAAATGTACGTATATATATATAAAAGATACATACGTAAATGTATATACTAAACTATGGAGGATTACGTATTTAAATGTACATACATGGACTTACATAATTAACTGTACACATTTAAATGTACATACTCGTTGTATATACTTAAATGTACATAATTGAATATACTTAAACGTACGTAATTTCAAAATGTAAATACATAAATGTAGACACTTGAATGTACGTACTCAAATCCACATACCTAACTGCGCATAATTAAATGTACACACTTAAGTTTCAGTATTTAACTGTACATACTTAAGTGCTTACACCCAACTGTACATACTTAAATGTACATAATTAAATATAAATTAATTAAATGTAAACCGGTGAATGTACATAGTTAAATGTACATACTTAACTGTATATAAATAAATGTACATACTCAACTGTACCTGGTTAAACGTACATATTTAAGTTTAAATACTTAACTGTGCATACTTAATTATATACACCTAACGTTATCTACTTAAATGTAAATAATTGAATGTTGACAATTGAATGTACACAGTTAAATGTACACATACTTAACTGTATATAATCACTCGTTAAAGATTTAACGAAGCTGTAAGTGCGAAATTTCGGTAATAAATTTCGGCCAATCATGTCCAAGAAAATAGGCGTTTCGTTGCAGTGCGCGGTGGTCGCAGGAAATCGATGTCGCCTTCTCGCGTTTCAGTCGATGATAACACGATAAGCCTTGACAAGGGGGCGGGTGACGGCAGCGTAAAAGAAACAAGGTGGTTTTAATTTAGCCGGTGACAGGGTATCATGCTATCGCGGGACCCTAGCCGAATTCAATTTGATCTTTGAGCGCGTTTGCTTGCGGAGCCACGTAGGTGGCGTAAAATTAATCTCACGTACCCGTACCTCCGTGCACCGAACCTCCTTTTTTTCCTCCTCGGATCGCCATCACGTGAAAGGTACAGAAAATAATCCTGCGTCACGGACTGATTCGCGAAATTCCTCCCACTCTCTCTATGGAAATATCATTTTTCGGTGTATCCATAGTTCCGTGAAATGCTGCGAAAAACGATCCGGGAAATAGCAGAACCTTTGTGAGCAAACGGAAATTCTAGAACTGGGATTTACAAAGAATAATCTCGTTCAACGGACTCGAAACAAATCTTTAATCTCGTTTTTCGAATATACGCGTGTTGCGAAGTTCTTTTTGCATTTATATCTAAAGGTTTTATTTATAAATTATTTAAGGTTTTTTCTAATATCAGATTTTTGGTGTTTAATGAATTTCGGTG